ACCTCCCCCACCCTCACCTCCTCATCAGCTCCGGTCCATCAGCGGACAGACAGACAGCGCCCCCGCCCCTCAGGCCCTCCCTGCTGCTTCCCAGCCAGTGTGGGGTCACCTTCACCCCAGTTCTGCCCCTCCCCGTGACCTTCCTGTCCGGAAGCCAAGGCCACGGCTCAGTCCCCCAAACCACTCCCCTCAGAGCCCTGGGTGCCGGGACACCTCTCTCCTCCTTCGACGGTCCTGCCATCTCCCACCCTCCTATTGGTTGGTGGGGAGGGAGCTCTCGGGCTCCTTCCTTCACCTCCGACCAGTCTTTCTTCCTTCCCTCTGGTCACACGGCCAGGCTGATGGCTTCTAAAGCCACCCGTTGGCTCCTACATGAGTCGTCTGCTGCTGTGTCACAAATCACCCGCCGAGCCCAGAGGTGGACAACGGGCAAGCCCGTCACCCTCCGTGGGTCACAAGTCCAGGCGCAGCTTGGCCTCGTGGTTCTGGCTGCCCAGGGCCTGGGATGAAGCCGCAGCCAAGCTGTGGGCCGCTCTTCTCTGAGGTTTGACTGGAAGCGGAGGACCCGTTCCAAAATGGTTGACTCACAGGGCTGTTGGCAGGAGGCCTGCGTGCGTGCGTGGGCGCGTGCGTGCGCGTGGGTGTCCTGTCTCAGATGACCGCTGACTTCCCCCAGAGCAGGCGGCCAGAGAGAAAGCCTGGGAGAAGCCGAAAGGTCATGCTGACCTAGCTGTATTCTGTTGGTCACACATACTGGCCATGAGACAGTGTTGGGGGACAGAGGGGGGGGGGTGTACACCAAGGCTCGGATCTCTGGGGCAGCGTCTCAGAGGCTAGCTACCCTAACTCCCAAATGTGTGTCTCCCGAGCAAAGGGCCCTCTCCCCTCAACTCAAGGATTGTGATTCTTCTCTATATTCGCTTATCTCCACACAGCAGCCTGGTCGGGGAGGTCCCACGGTCACATCCCGTGTCCAGTGCTGAACTTGGCCCCCTCAAAAGGCAACGCTATTGGACTCAGGCCACAGTATGTGAAGTTACTCTTGCCAACACCTCCCTCTTTCACACCTAGGCTGGTGTCTCTGGACAAATCCTGTTGACTATCTTTAAACAAAACAAAACAACTTCCTTCACCACCATCAATCTGGTCCAGCTCCTACCACCTCCTCTCTGGGTCCAGACCCACCATCTCCTCTCTGGGTCCAGCACCCATCTTCTCCTCTCTGGGCCTCCCACAATCTCTTCTCAGCAAAGTTCCTGCGTGATCCTCTGGAGGCAGGGAACGTTTCTTCTGTTAACCCCTCCCAAAGTGCCTCCCTGACTCAGAATAGAAGTCAGAATCTTTTTGGACGGTGGCCTACAGGTCCACCCAACCAACCACTGCCAGCTCCCTTTCTCCTCTCCTCATTCCCTTCCATTTCCCGGCATTCCAGCCACCCTGAGCTGCTTGCCGGCCTCAGACATGCTATGCCGCCCCACCTCAGCCCCTGCCTTCCTTTGATGCTGGGGCAGAAATACCACTAGAACTCCATCCTGCCTGCCACCTGGTCCATGCCGACTCGGGTAGAACTGCCTCTGTGAGTTTCCGAAACTAAGTCTTAACGGGAGCAGAAAGCCTCCTCTTTCTGCCACGGGGCAGGCAGCTGGTGGGTGCGTACTGCTGACCTTGTGGTTAGCAGCCACCGTGCCAGGGCTCCTGAGAGGGACCACAGTGGAGGATGTGATGAGCTAGAATTCAGTTTCTCACAATTGAAGAGGCTAGAAGTCCAAGTTCAGAGCACGGCAGGGGGGCTTGTCTGCTGGCTCAATTTCTCTCCCATTCTTCTCCTTTCTCCTCATTCCTGCGTTCTCAGCCATCTCCACCAGTGCGGCTCTCTCATCTCCTGACAAGCACCTGTCCCCTCTGTGCCCCACCTCTTTTTCTAACTCAAAAGTGATTGGCGGAAGACATACCTGCACCTTGATGGACTCACGAACACAGCACAGAGCATCCCATTTCCAAACGGAATCACCTTGACAGGCATGGGGGGTGGGGTTAGCAGAGGGGGTACAGTCCGGTCAATAACAACCTCCTTGCTTATACCTTGGGGTGCGTTCTCTGCCCAGCCTGCTGGTCAGCCATCATTTCTTTCCACCGGAACCAGAAGCCCTCCTTGGCCATCCTGTCGGGAAACTCCAAATGCCCTCCTCCCCCTCCCCCTTCCCACCTCCTCCTCTGCTCTGTTGCTCTCCATGAATTCTCCATCTCGGAGGAGGAGGAGTCTCCACGTCTGCCTTCTCTGATGCCACCAGCCTTTCACCACCGGCGCCATGCCAGAGGGCACAGTCAGCTGTCCGATGAGTCTGCCCAAGACCTCAGACACCATCCGTCAGTGTGACCAGCTGGACACACGGCTGGGCATTCCCCTGACCTCCCCCTTGGGTTTGGAATTTTTGCCAGTGTGACCCACAGGACTCCAGGAAGTGCTATACTTCAACCGCGATTTCATTCTTTATTCTGGCAGAACAGAAACAAATACAGAGAGGCCTTTGGGAGGGTTCTCAACCCAACCGGAAGCTTCCAGCCCCCCAGGACACACCACCCTCCCCCAGGCATCCATCATGGCTCTCCTCCCCCAGTGTTTTTTGGGCCAGAGGTCTCTGTGGGGGTGGGGGCAGTTGACTGGACCCAATCATCACCGAAGAGGACGTTGTCAGCAGTCAAACCAGCGTTTGAAAACCTAGCCACTCCCCACCCCCGCCCCATGGTGGGCACCTCCAGTGACTTCCATTGTGCCCTCTCCCTCACCCTGCCAGCCCCCACCTCATTCATGCTGGACCCCTCAGGGGTAACAAAGATGCCAGTCCTTGGGGAAGGGCAGTGTTGGTTTTAGAGGTCACTCCTCAGGAGCCAAGGGCAGAGACCCGGTTCTTTGGCTCAATACATGTGAACTCCCCTCACCTAACAAGTGCTAAACGGCAGGGGCTTCGGAGAGGAATCCAATGACAATGGAGAGAGTTTGCACGAGCGTTTTGAAGCCGCCCCTCATTTGCCTCTGTGTTCTCTGGCTCTGTATAAGCAGAACCCCCGTGAGGGCAGGGGTGTGGGTCTGTTTTGTTCCCTGCCCCGGAATCCCGGGGGTCTGAGTAGGTGCTCAATAAAAGCCCTGAAGACTTGCCTGGAGGAGAGGCCGGCCTTGCGGTAAGGAGCGAGGGAAAAGGAAAGGGCGTCTGAGGCCCAGAGTGAGCAGGTGAGGCAGGGCCAAGGGCCTGGGTCGATTCCAGAAGGAATCCGAGGACCCATGGAAGTAGTGAGAGGGAACTGGACCCAGCGCCCGACCAGGGGACAGAGCCCAAGGTGGGGCAAAGCAAGCGAGGCCTTAGGGTGGGGAAGGGAATGGAAGGTGATCGCCACGCCCGCCCCTTTCTTGCCCACCCCCAGGTGTCGGTGTGCCAAGAGATGCTGCAGGAGCTGCGCCACGCGGTGTCTTGTCGCAAGACGTCCCGTTCCCGCCGGCGACGGCGCCCGGGCGGTGCGAGCCGCGCCCTGCTGTCGCTGCGCGCCGTCCGCGAGATGCGGCTCAGCAACGGCAAGCTCTACTCGGCCGGCGC